GTCTACTGCTAAACAATTTCCACAGCGGTGAGTAGGTTCACTGATTATGTGAGGTCAGGTTGACCTTGGCACACAGAATATCAACGACACGACACGCCATGCGAATTTCATGATCAGCGTAGTTTACTCTTCTTGCGAGTTTATATCACATATTCTTTGACATTTTGGGTGTGTGTGTGTGTGTGTGTGTGTGGGTGGGGGGAGCATGCGGCGGCATCAAGAACGGCTTTAGAGACACAAATGCAAGCACGATATATTAAATACTGAATAAACTGTCTGTCAGTCGGTCCTTCTGTCACTCTGTTTTGTGGAAAGAAATTTATCAGAGAAAATGTATGTCTTGAATCAGTCGCTAAAGAAAATATTCAGTCTTCTTCTTCCGTTCTTTTCTGTTCTTGTATCTTCAGTAAGAAATTAGGGCTTGGGTGCTATAATTTAAACAGTATTAAGTCAGAGATAAAATCGTATGCCTCTAATTCACATCCGAGGACAAAAATGCTTACATTTAAAACTTAAAATTAATGAATATCTATAGACAATCAACGGTGGCTCTAAAGCCTCATTTTATATATACATATATAATGCTTGCGTGTTCAAGCTGCATGCGAACCGAAAGGGCAGACGATACACGGGTCAGTTGGAATGTCCCGTCTATTTTGTTACTCCTGAAGCGTTTTTCTCGATGGTGAACAGTCCCAGACATAATCAAGGAAGAATGTGTTTCAACTCTGACTCAAATCATTTAACCATTAAGTGCTGACGAGAGACGCGTAGACTCGACCGGCGTGCGGTGATTCTGTCTGTGCCGTGCGCTTTTTTCGTGGTCACCGATGGCCTCGTATCTATTTCTTTCAACAAAGGCAATGCATATTTGCTTAATATTCATATGCCACCGCACATATCCGTTTAAGATTGAAGAAATGACTATAAACAAATATGAAAACTAACTGCCCATAATAGCAGTAACATTTATTTAACATGAATTCTTTCCTGCAACGTTTGCTTGGCGGAATGTCAGATGTGAGAATAATTAGCGGAAATAATGAGGCGTTGAAAGCATTTGTTTGCTTGTTTAAATCCACTCAGCAATATTCAACCTATATAACGGCGGTTTGTAAATAATCGAGTCTGGACCATACAATCCAGTGATCAATATCATGAGCATCGATCGACGCAAGTGGGATACGATGACATGTGTCAACCTCATCCAGCCTCACCACGCGATCCCGTTAGTCGCCTCTTACTGATGAAGCGCTGTGAGACGAAGCAGGACTACTTTGTAAAATGTCAATGACTGAGTGAGTGAGTGAATTTGGTTTTACGCCGCTTTTAGCAATATTCCAGCAACATCACGGCGGGGGACACCAGAAATGGGCTTCGCACATTGTACCCATGTGGGGAATCGAACCCGGGTCTTCGGTGTGACGAGCGGACGCTTTAACCACTAGACTACCCCTCCGCCCCCGTAAAATGTCAGGGTAACATGTAATGTAATATGAATATTTTACATGGAAGGGAGGGTTTTGTTAGTGTGAGTGAGTTCAGTTTTACGCCGCTTTTAGCAATATTCCAGCACAATCACGCCAAGGCACACCGAAAAATGGGCTTCACACCATTGTTGGGTCTTCAGCGAGATTCTCAAACGCTTTAACCATTGTCTATCCCACCGCCAGTGGTTTGGAAGGCCAAAGATATGATGACATTTGTGTGATTTACATCTGCAGTCTACATAGTTATAGTACTCCAGATGCTACAATAAGTGGTAATAATCGAGTCTTGGACAAACCAGTGATTGATATCAATAGCAACGTCGCACACTGGCGGAGTAGGATGACACAGAATCAAGTCTGACCGCTCCATCCGTTTTCGGGAGCAACTTTTTAATTTTAGTTTAGATGTCCTTTTTCCATGTTTAAACACTCGATTGTGTATTTTAATGAAAAAATAAATGTAACCAATTGTATCCAATGGCATAGTAATCAAGTCCGCTAGAAAGGGGCACATTGTTCTCATGCAATGCGAGGCATGTGCATTTTTCTTACTAAAACTGGAGCTTGATCGTAAGTTTGGAAAAACTTCAGAAAATTAAGTGGCAGCTACTTTTGTCCTAACCTGTCCTAACCCAAACCCAAATTGGTGCACTCCACGATTCCATTTAACACCTTAATTATTATCAGCCCCAGGAATCTTTGTGAAAATGTCATCATGACATTCACCGGTCGAAGTTCAAGAAGATGACGTCACTAAATGTTGATAATTCCAATAAACATACATTCACTTTGTTTATACTGCAGGCTTGACGTGTTAATGTTTCTGCATATCTTAAGCAATGTGTAGTTTACTGGTTTCACATGCTATTGTAGCCCGACTGCCTATTGTACTGTATAAACACTTCCCACACTTCCCTCACAATCCTTACTCTTGCTTGCCTGATAACACTGTTAGAACCTACACCCCCAAACGTCTCACCGTAATAAAGAAGTTGAACATCCATACATTGTTATCCTTTCTTACTGCTCCAACTTCTAAAGACCTCTCAAAGAAATAAACACATTTCTGAGTGAGTGAGGTTCAACAGTGAATCTGAGAGTGTAGGGAAGCCACTGCTGAATAACGACACAAGACCCGACACTGTGATATATCATGACAATGACTTAAGAAATACAGTTCGCTCTACCACCATGTATAGTGTAATAAAGCACACTTTCGCCCTGAACTATTATAGTTAAAACACGAGGACATGGTGGTAGAGCCAACTGTATTTCTTTTCTAAAAGTGACGCGAATACATTGTGACGTAATGCAAAAAGTGCACATTATCGCCTGATAGAGTACTTACGGCGGGTTTGATCTTTCACCGAAGCATCTTAGAATCTGTGACATATCATTATAAAGACGGTGTGACACTGTGATATATCATGATAATGACGATGTGGCACTGTGATATATCATGTCAACAACACTGACATTGTGATACATCATGATAACGACGGTGTGACACTGTGATATATCATGTCAACAACATCGGCACTGTGATACATCATGATAACGATGGTGTGACACTGTGATATATCATGTCAACAACACCGACACTGTGATACATCATGATAACGATGGTGTGACACTGTTATATATCATGTCAACAACACTGACATTGTGATACATCATGATAACGATGGTGTGACACTGTGATATATCATGTCAACAACACTGACATTGTGAAACATCATGATAACGACGGTGTGACACTGTGATATATCATGTCAACAACACCGACACTGTGATACATCATGATAACGATGGTGTGACACTGTGATATATCATGACTACACCGACACTGTGATACATCATGATAACGATGGTGTGACACTGTGATATATCATGTCAACAACACCGACATTGTGATACATCATGATAACGACGGTGTGACACTCTGATATATCATGTCAACAACACTGACATTGTGAAACATCATGATAACGATAGTGTGACACTGTGATATATCATGTCAACAACACCGACACTGTGATACATCATGATAACGATGGTGTGACACTGTTATATATCATGTCAACAACACTGACATTGTGATACATCATGATAACGATGGTGTGACACTGTGATATATCATGTCAACAACACTGACATTGTGAAACATCATGATAACGACGGTGTGACACTGTGATATATCATGTCAACAACACCGACACTGTGATACATCATGATAACGATGGTGTGACACTGTGATATATCATGACTACACCGACACTGTGATACATCATGATAACGATGGTGTGACACTGTTATATATCATGTCAACAACACTGACATTGTGATACATCATGATAACGATGGTGTGACACTGTGATATATCATGTCAACAACACTGACATTGTGAAACATCATGATAACGACGGTGTGACACTGTGATATATCATGTCAACAACACCGACACTGTGATACATCATGATAACGACGGTGTGACACTGTGATATATCATGACTACACCGACACTGTGATACATCATGATAACGATGGTGTGACACTGTGATATATCATGTCAACAACACCGACATTGTGATACATCATGATAACGACGGTGTGACACTCTGATATATCATGTCAACAACACCGACACTGTGATACATCATGATAACGACGGTGTGACACTGTGATATATCATGTCAACAACACTGACATTGTGATACATCATGATAACGATGGTCTGACACTGTGATATATCATGACTACACTGACACTGTGATACATCATGATAACGATGGTGTGACACTGTGATATATCATGTAACACTGACACTGTGATACATCATGATAACGATGGTGCGACACTGTGATATATCATGTCAACAACACTGACACTGTGATATATCATGTCAACAACACCGACACTGTGATACATCATGATAACGACGGTGTGACACTGTGATATATCATGATAACAACACCGACACTGTGATACATCATGATAACGATGGTGCGACACTGTGATATATCATGTCAACAACACCGACACTGTGATACATCATCATAACGACGGTGTGACACTGTGATACATCATGATAACAACACCGACACTGTGATACATCATGATAACGATGGTGTGACCCTGTGATATATCATGTCAACAACACCGACACTGTGATACATCATGATAACGATGGTGTGACACTGTGATATATCATGTCAACAACACCGACACTGTGATACATCATGATAACGATGGTGTGACACTGTGATACATCATGATTACACCGACAGCGAATATTGTGTCATGCCCTGTTTGATTGTGGAAATGCATGCACTGTTTCAAGACAGACACGATCACCCAGTAACCACGGTACAGTAAATACTGTCTGGAGGACCATACATTACACACAGTGAAGCTGTTTGTTTACATCGGAGCATATCCCGGAAAACCGTCTCTGTAATTGACAATGGATAGCGTGAGAACGGTAATGATGTCAGTACGTATATTACATACCTCGAAATACAGCAAAGCGCGGCAGTCGTCCTAGCTTGGTAGAGAATCCAGTGTGAAGCCCGCAGGCACGAAAGACACGCCCCAGTACACGGGCACAGTCAACTCTATGAGTGATAATAACATCGAGCCAAGCCATGACCCACTTTTGACTGTGCAGATATTCACGGCGTGTTGTCTGTGGGCGTAAATGTGTTGCTGTTCAGTGAGAATGAATGATTTTCTCCTGTGGAAATACTATATGTTTAAACATTAATTCAATTCAGAGGCTATTCAGATACGCAGCAACAGATTATCTGAGCAGATACAGCCACTCCGAAATTTCCCCGGGACACATTGAATTTGAAACTTACCTGTAAGTAGAAGTTTGATTTTATTTCCACCAACCTGAGGGATTAATTATAAGTGAGATATGTGCATGCGTTGTCAACACCGTCAGATTGTGCGCAACCATCTGCAGGATCGCTTCACCAGAGCGACGGAAACAGCACGCCAGACCATTGGGACTCACAACAGATCCATCAAGTGCCTATACAGTGCGTCGACGTTTGCGCGGAAGAAACCTCCGCTGTCACAGACAATATCGTGGTCCTGTCCTCATCGCTAATCACTGCCATAACCAACTGCAATGAGCAACTCAGCATCGAAATTGGCGTTGTCGACAATGGAGAACTGTGCTTTTTCTGATGAAAGCCGATATTGTGTTTCGACAGCCAATGAGTGTATTGTTGAAAGAAACTCGTGGGGTGGTCCAAGCATCATGGTGTGGGGTGCAATCGGTCTGAACCAGAGAGATGGCCCAGTGTTGTTTCAGAATCTCGGTCCATGACGAGGAATGTAACAGCTGCTCGTTATATTGACCAAGCCATAAGACCCGAAGGTGTACCACATTTTGAACGTCACAGAAATCACAGCTTCCAGCAAGACAACGCTCGTGCTAACACTGCCAGAGCAATATTGGACTTACTAAGACACCATGGCATTCAAAGCCTACAATGGCATGCACTCAGTCCGGATCTAAGTCAAAAAGAACATCTTTGGGACGAGATTAAAGGAAGACTAAATGACCTCTAAGGCCGACAACTGCAACTTGACTCGATCAGGCATTTCGCAGAGTAAGGACCCTAGTGCCTATGGCCTTCGTCAACCGTAGTCAAGACGTAGTTAAGTATTTATTCGAATGCAATGTTTGATGAAAGATTTCATATTTGGCAACTACATATTACCCATGCCATCTTTGCATAAAAAGTGAAAATTTTCCGTAAGATCTTTATATGCAATTTTCCGGTGCAGCTTCCATCTTGGACCATACGAGGCTTGTCATTTCCTCCCTCGGTTAATTTAGTTGCTAGGATTAAACAAAGTGTTAAAAAACCATATCCATCCACCCATCATACCTCCCAACTCCTACACACAAACACAACACACACACAGAGACTACATGCCTAAAAAGCTGTGAATTTGCCAGCGAAATTTACATGAGGAGAGATGATATAAACGTATGTGTGTGCCTGTGTGTGTAACTGCGCGCGTGTGTATAAGCTTATTACACTGATATTGATGAATGTGGTGAATTTGTAAACAGTGACAGTACTTCAACTCAGCAATGTTCAGAGTATCTATCAGGTGAGGTGCTGTGCGTCAATATCTTTGTTAGTATATACTATTTACACTTTGCTAAGATCAAATCATTGATTCAACAGAAAACTATGATGTGGGGTCAAATTTGGTTGGTTGGTGCCATGAAAACCATTTTTATGGTTACTCGTGTATCAAGTGCATACGGTTAGCTTAAAGCGGCTGTTTTCCTAAAGATGTGTTACCATATCATTATTTATCCCGTTTTAAATGGATACAATTTTAAATTATAAATCTACGTTTAAGTAAAGTTGGGAATGTTTGTGATCCTTATCAAAGCGTGATCGTCAATGACGATCATTATTTTGGTTTTACAGATACACACTCCTTGATTTCAGTGCCCGCTTTGAGATGCAATCTACTGACCACTCAAATATCTCAATATGAAAGTGCAATATTATAATCCCAATAAAAGATTTTAAGGTCTGGTTCGAAATGTGTGTGTGGACAAAGCTGTGAATTAGAAGCGACAAAACCCTTTCCACGTCTTGAAGAAATCTCTGCTAAAAGCAGAGTCGATTGTACAAGTCTGACAATATCATGAGTATTTATTTGTGTCAGTAGTATTACAGCTGTATGTTGTTGTTTGTAAACAAAGCTATAAAAACAAGGAAAAAATTGTCACGAAGATATTTTGATAAGATTGATATTAGGACTGCCTGAGAGACCTTCATCGATTTGTCCGATTATTTGTTTCTGGTTTGAAGTATGTTTGTGAGCTTTTTTGGTGAATGATTTCTTACCAACATATGTATCGGGCCTTCCTGCGAAGTCTGCTTGTCTTGTAACAAGAGCTTCCGTTACAACGTCGATTCGAGAGTACAACAACTGCTTTGAGCGTACCTGAAAATCATGTTCATTTCTGTTTTTTAAATTAAGAATCAGCGAATATGTTGCATACATAAGACGCGTGAAGATCTGGGTAGAATTGGTCTTCAGCTACCCGTGCTTGTCAACTGAGGGGATCCACTGGTGAGTCTCGATGACTGGCTTGACAAATGCCATCGTATCCCAACTGTAAATGTATGCTAATGCTATGGGTCACTAGACTGTTTACCTACAGGCATATTGTTGACTGCGGCGTAACCACCGTTTACTGACCTGGTTGATCTCGTTCAGGGGCACTCGTTTTAATTACCTACATTTGTGCTGATATCCTCGGCAAGTTACACAGTCCACCAGGTGAAGGTTACACAGGCAGTCTTATAGAATGTGAATTAAAATCTCACCTACAGGTATCGGTAGAGGTGGGGTCGGGACAATCGGTTTGGATTTTTCTTGTTAAATGCCGCTGTATGAGGGTGGCCTGTAAATGGATCAGACAATCCAGAGATCAACATCATGAGCATTGATCTACGCAACTGGGATACGATGACACGTGTTAACCACGTATGCGAGCCTGTTCACCCGATCCCGTTCTGACAAGCATGGTTGGCTGAAGACCAATTCTAACCCGGACCTTCACGGGTTCGGAACAATGGTTGTGGGTTATTCGTGTGGGTTAGCTGAAACGGGGACTGGTTGTGCTGTGAGTATATGTGTTGTGATTGACTCTGCAGAGTTGCAGACCTTAGAAGAGCATAGCACCGAGGTGATGTAAGTACACAAACATCTTTCTTCATGCAGCTTGTCTCATTGGCATTGGATCCAGATTGGACATAATTCAAGAAGGAGTAATATGCATACATGTCAACATGGTTATGTTTCCACTGTTGAGTTCATCTCCATCAATGTTCAGTGAGTGAGTTTAGTTTTACGCCGCTTTCAGCAATATTCCAGCAATAAAACGGGGTGGGACACCAGAAATCGAATTCACATTGTGTCCCTAAGTGGGAATCGAACCATGATCTTTGACGTGACGAACGAACGCTCTAACCAGAGGACTAACCCACAGCCAATTTTCAATTTTCAAGAGTTATTACTTTTAGTATCCAAAACTTCCGGGTACTTTTACTTTTACTTTTAATCCAAAAAGTAAACAATTGTAGTTCTACGGTAATTATTAAGAAGACAGACATACGCATAGACCTAACGCACTATATGGTACAAAGACCACGATATTTGCCTGGCGAGAGGAACATGCTATAGTAGACTGTAACCCTATTTTTTCACAACAGGTACACATAGATATGGTGCTGACAAAAACATAATCGTGGCCAACTCACGATGTAACTGTCTGGTTTGCATAGGATACACAACTTTCACAGTGAATTACGACGCCACTCTTATCTTACATGTTAACAAGCCACATTTGGGGTTTTCTTAAAGTAGGCGTGATCAGAATTAGAATGCATCTCTAATACCATGTATGACAATACCAGGGTCCACTTCAGTGGATGCACTTCTAACACCGGGTACATGGATGTTCGAAGGTCAATTCACAATATGCCATCAAGGGCTGGTTTGTAGACCGGAGGAGCTGGCATGGTATTTACTCAGGCACTCGATAGTTTCTTGGGATATTTGTAGAGTACTGGTCGTGTTAATTTGGGTCTATGAAATGTTTGGTATTTCAGTCAAGTTCTACCTGAACTTTGTTTCTGTAACTGTCTAACTACACCGGTGTTCCTGATGTCATGTAACAGTGTAACCACTGCCATGTAACTTCTACCCTGAAATATCTACCTGTATCTAACGCTCTCTGTAACTACATTCTGTGTTACTAATGTCATGTAACAATGTAACCACTGCCATGTATCTTCTACCCTGAAATATCTACCTGTATCTAACGCTCTGCTAACTAAACCCGTGTTACTAATGTCATGTAACAGTGTAACCACTGCCATGTAACTTCTACCCTGAAATATCTACCTGTATCTAACGCTCTGTAACTACACCCGTGTTACTAATGTCATGTAACAGTGTAACCACTGCCATGTAACTTCTACCCTGAAATATCTACCTGTATCTAACGCTCTGTAACTACATTCGTGTTACTAATGTCGTGTAACAGTGTACCCTGAAATATAGTATGACCAGGAATTATTGAGAATTTTAGGAATATCTTTAATTGGATTTCTAAGTATAAACAATATAGTATGACCAGAAATTATTATTTTCAATATCTTGGTTTCTAATATAAACAACCTTGACCAGCTATCAAGTAAGACAACTCCGTTAATCCTTTTTCATTAGTTTTTCAAGAGTTATCCCTCCTTTATTTACTTGCTAGCAGACGACATTTTCAGTGATCCTCAGTTTGGATGATTTAGAGAAGAGGAAGTTGATTTTAGAGTATTATAACAAGGACATCAGATCAGCTAAAGTGATTTCATGTAGAACAGGCATCCCTTTGTCCACTGTTTATCGTGTTTTGAAACATATTGCAAATGGATGTGGCATTGAGCACCAGGGAGGTGCAGGTAGGCCAAGAAAATTGACTGTCGGTGACAGGAGGCGGCTTGGTATTCTTGTTTCTAAAAACAAACGAAGGAGTTTAGAAAACTTAAGGCTGGATATGATTGATAGAGGAACTGTGGCTGTCTGTAAGGAGACAATTAAAACTGAGCTGCATGCAATGGGTTGGCAGAAAAGTCGACGAATTCCATCACCGATCATGAAACCTGAACAAAAGGAGCAAAGGTTGAACTGGTGCTTACAGCATAGAAATTTTAACTGGGACAATGTGATTTTCTCAGATGAAAGTTCTGTGGCTGTTTCCTAATACACTGACATTCTGGACCAAACAAACCGAAAAACCTTTGTATCAGCGCCCAAAGTACAGTCCGAGATTTAACGTGTGGGGTGGCATATCTGTGTTAGGGGCAACACCCCTCTGTGTATTTGAAGGGAATATGAACAGTGAGCGGTACACAGATATTCTCGAGGGACATTTACTTCCATCTGCTCACGTGTTCTGTGGAAATGTTTGGATTTTCTAGCAGGACAACGACCCAAAACATCGTTCAAAGCATTCACAGGCCTGGTTTCGGACCCAAAATATGACATTATTAGATTGGCCAAGCTATAGCCCTGACCTAAATCCAATAGAAAATGTTTGGGGACATATTAAGGAAAGTGTCAAAAAGAAAAATCTGACAAATATTGCTGAAATGAAAGAAGAGGTGGTCCGATATTGGGACAGCATTGACCACGACTTTCTAACTTCTTTGATCAGTAGTATGCCCCGCCGCATTGAAGCCTGCATTGCTGCCCATGGTGACTTGACAAAATACTAACTGTTCACCTGTCTTTGAATCTGGAGTTATGTTCTGCTAATATTCACTTTTAATACGTGAGTAATGAGTGAAAAAAGTAAAAAATTACAATCTTTAAATTCTCAATAATTTCTGGTTGTACTGTATCTACCTGTATCTATGGCTTTGTAACTACACCCGTGGCATGTTACAGTGTAACCACTGCCATGTAACTTCTACCCTGAAATATCTACCTGTATCAAACGCTCCCTGTAACTACACCTGTGTTACTAATGTCATGTAACATTGTAACCACTGCCATGTAACTTCTACCCTGAAATATATACCTGTATCTCTAAGTACACCTGTGTTACTAATGTCATGTAACATTGTAACCACTGCCATGTAACTTCTACCCTGAAATATCTACCTGTATCTATCGCTGTGTAACTATACCCGTGTTCATAATGTCATGTAACAGCGTACCCTGAAATATCTACCTGTATTTACCGCTATGTAACTATACCTGTGTTACTAATGTCATGTAACAGTGTACCCTGAAATATCTACCTGTATCTATCGCTCTGTAACTATACCCGTGTTACTAATGTCATGTAACAGTGTAACCACTGCCATGTAACAGTGTACCCTGAAATATCTACCTGTATCTATCGCTTTGTAACTATACCCGTGTTACTAATGTCATGTAACAGTGTAACCACTGCCATGTAACTTCTACCCTGAAATAACTATCTGTATCTATCGCTCTGTAATTACACCCGTGTTACTAACGTCATGTAACAGTGTTACCACTGCTATGTAACTACGATCCGGGTATTTTGCGTCCGTGTTGTTAGAACACTGTAACTTCACTGTAACTACCACATTGTAACATTGTAATGCTCGCCAGCAACATCAACAGCAACCTTGTAACAATATCCATGTAACGCCAACGTGTAAATGAGTCACTCAAACTGTCACTCTTTAACTATGAAACCCGTGAAGATCCGGGGAAGAATTGGTCTTCAACAACGTAAGAGGTGACAAACAGATCAAGTGGGCAGACTCGCTGACAAAGGTTGACAAATGTCATCATATTCCACTTGTGTAGGTCGATGGTCATGATGTTGATCACTGGATTGTCTGGTCCAAACTCGATTATTTACAGACCGCCGTTCAATACTAGCGTATTGCTGAGTGTGGCGTTAAACAACAAACAAACAAACTTTAGCTGAAAACCTTTAACTTCAATACCGTTACTTTATACGACCCTTTAAGTGGGTGAGTGAGTGAATATAGTTTTACGCCGCTTTTATGAATATTACAGCAATATTCTCATTCTTCGGTTCGCATTCGTATTGTGACAGCAGAAAAATGTTCATGAAACATCCTAAAGAGAAGCGTTTTTTTATTCAGAATAATACAATGATTAATTAACCTGAGCAACGCATCTTCTTCCTCTTCTTCATAAAATGTATAAAGTCTCTTCTGTAAAGTTGCAAAGTACCGAGACAGATCTACTTTAACTGATACGTGTTGGAAAGAGTCCCTATACATATTAGAGCAGCTGATTTTACTATACACCTGTGCATTAATTAAACACCATCCTGTTTTGAAATTAAGATGTGATGCTACAGAAAAGGTAGGGTATAGTCATCAATTTAATCAACCTGCAGTTAAAGAAGCTCTATCCATTGATAGTTTTACAAATACCATAACCTTGATGAAAATGTGATGGGACTGACTTTTTAACTACACAATTAAAATAACTTTTGACTAAAAATAACAATTCTGTTATTTACCACATTTACACATCAAGTAAGCTTTTAAAATTCATAATCAGGAAGAACCCGAATGTCAAAGATTCAGACCTTTCTCCAACAATTCAGATTGCTAATTGACAAAAACTGAAAAAGGCCACATTAATAAGATTCTGGAATAATTTTGTTAATGATTTTGAGTTGATTGTATTGAATAAACACTTCTCCTTGCCGGATATTGATAGTTACCGCTAAAATCTATTTGTTTTGTTTGTAAAGCACCTTTTACTGCATTTTAAATTTTCCTTCGTTTTAGTTTGACTGAAACTTTCCTAAATCTTAGTTTACAAACTTTCATCCATTCACAATAAATAACAAATTTATAGGCCACACAACAATCAATTATTACTTTCACTTTTCAAAATAAGGTAACTCCTAATCAAAAAACATGGTAATTTCAATGATGTTTTCGTTTTTGAAATGTTAAATGATTGTTCTATCAAATTATAGAGGTTATTTTTTAAAAAGAGTTTAGAATTTCATTTCAGACAAAATTAATTGGTAAAAATACAAGGTGGTGCTTATTTTATGCACAGATGTATATATGGTTTCCTTGACTGACACTGGTGGCAACTGACGTTTTCATTAGTGCAGCTGTTTGTGATCCCATCTCCCTAAGTACTGCATCTGTTAACCTTTATCACGTATTTCAAGAGTGCTAAATTTCAGAAACTATCATTGCGTAGTCACCAAGGGTTTAGTTTTACGCCGCTTTTAGCAATATTCCAGCAATATAACGGCGGGGGACACCAGAAATGGGCTTCACACATTGTACTCATATGGGGAATCGAACCCGGCGCGGGTCGACGAACTTCGGCGTGACGAGCGAAATCTTTAACCACTAGGCTACCCCACAGTCCCCTTGTGAACAAGATGGACGCAACCAAGAACAATAATAGGCACACAAGAGTATATATAATGTTCATTTATTCAGGCTAATTCAGGTTCCACATGATTATTGTGAAGCTCTTTTCCAATGCAAATCTTCATGCGCAAATACAATGCACCAATTCACATGTTGTTGGATCAATTTTGTGAGAATATCTTTCTTGTCACATTCGGCAATATTTGTGTCATTTCTGTTTCTTAAATGCATTCTTAAAGAATTGTCCTCCGTAACATATATGCTGGTTGGTCGTTGGGGGCATATGAATAGAGTGGATGGCAAGACATGGTCATTGCCTGTCATTGTAAAGTGTGGGAAGTTGTTCATGATATCGATCACTGGTTTGTCCTGTAAAAACTCGAGTATGTACAGGCACATATGTGGAATATTGCTGATCGCGGTTTTAAGTGTCCAGAGAGTAGAAGGGTAGGGGTTCGATCCTGGTAGCCAGATTCGGTGGTGAAAGTGTGAGGTGATGGGAGCCTGGACTCGGAGGGAGGTGAACCTGGAGGTCCAAGGGGATCTGACAGCAAAACTGACATCGGCTCAGTCCGAACGTATACATATTGAACATACTTCGGGAATCATGAAGGACAAGATCAGCAAAATGGATAAAAGCATATGTGATATGAAGACAGAGGTGGTGAGATATTGAAACAGTAGACTCATGGTTTTCTTACTTCGTTGTTAGACAGAACCACTATATTTTCTTTCAAAGTGATGACTGATAGTATCTGATATAAGACTATAAACACCGACACTGTGATATATCATGATAACTACACCGACAATGTGGTATATCATGACAACTGCACCAACACTGTGATATATCATGACAACTACAAACACTGTGATATATCAATATAATTACATTCACACTGTGATATATCATGATAACGACACCGACACTGTGATATATAATGATAACTACACCGACACTGTGATATATCGTGTTAAGTACACCTACAAAATAGCAAATGGTCGATGCCAAAAGTGTTCAATTTGTTAATTTTGACAATTGTATTTATTTAAGATGAGACTTGAAATTTAAGTAGCAATTCCATTCAAAATGAATAAAAAAATATAGACTGAAAAATGGAAAGAAGACAAACGACGTTTTCTGTGTGGTAGTTAAAGAGTAAATCCTATCATATGATTGTCTATATAGTATATATGTCTTAAACCTTTCCATCGATTGGTCAGTCTTAATTAGTTGATTTTAACGCCACACTGAGCAGTATCGAATCACAGGTTGTCCGTCATAATAATTCTGGCGTTTGTCACCACCCCACCCTCATTGGCTGAGTGAAGTTGTAAACATCTCAGACATTAATCACCTGGATGTGTTATTCCACAGTATTTTGACAAGATAAAAAAGACCTTGATACTCTGTTCAAAATGACGTTAAAAACAAATAACCAACTTAAACTCTCCATTCCATAACAACCTTGTATCTCCCTGGACTATTGACAATCCCCTTACTCTGTGGCTCAAAGTCATGCTGTGTTCCAGGGGCGAGGGATATGGAGAATACCCTGAGGATTCCAGCAAGAAAAAGGTTAAGCTCGGGTTTTGCAACAGTCTCACCAAGACAGACTCTCCTTCCGGCAGAGAACGGAAGCCAGCTTTCTGGCTTGGGGCCCATCTTCCCATCTGAGTCAAGGAATCGTTCAGGTTTTAACGTATTGACATCTTCCCACTGGTCAGGGTCAAAGTGCAAAGCGTCGTGGTTGATGATCACCATTGTTCCCTTGGGAACATCGTATCCACCTGCAAGTCATACATCAGCATCTTACAAACGTAATCTATCTACCAACATGTTTGAAGACGTGATGATAAACATCTTCATTGGCCTAAAATGTAATATTAAAAAAAGGAACATCATCATCATGAGCAGCAGCAGCACAACCACCACCACCATCCACCACCATCTATCACCACCACCACCATCCACCACCATCTATCACCACCACCACCACCACCACCGCGGCCACAATCACCATAAGACTCGAAAGCCCTGGTGTCATGAATGCTCGAGATACACATGCAGGCAGCAACCATTTGCCATAGACAGGACACGGACCAGGAAAGATGAAAACCACATAGTAATATGCACAAATGTTCATATTGTTTCTTTGAATATTTTAGGATGAAATCCAGCTCATATACACCATCGGTATCACCCATATTTATCCTTTTTTCCATTATATACGTTATGCAACGTACTGCAATACCTACCAACTGTGGTATCGCACAGGGTGGAGTGAGGAACGCCAGTGGGAACGACTGACCTCAACCTCATGACCTCATGTATCACTGCATCGGTGTATGGCAAGTTCTCCCTGTCCGAAACGTGCACGTTCAGATCAGGACCTGCAACCACAGCACATATCACTGTCAAGAAGACATGGACAAGGTCATATGTACTACCCACAATGCATCGTAACGCAACATTCTGCATCCTCTTTGCTAACAGGCTGTATTGTGTTTCTTTGGCCATTTTTAGCAATTTCACAAGTCAAGGTTTCCAAAGGAACTTCAATCACATTCAATTCGAAGTGGCACACCGGGTCTACATGTGTATGATGTATGCACGCATTGTTATGATATCTTGAACATTGTCTGAATCATTAAAGGAAAAGACGATAAGACGGTCAGCCTGAGTTTTTCATTCTCTGTGGAGTTTGGTGAATGATAAGAGCATATTATGTGTGGTTGTATATGCTCAAAAGTGTCATTTAACGGACTCGCACGGACCTTTATTTCATCCTAACATCAGGAGTGTTTCTAGGGTTCTAAATAGTGCATCAGACTTTCTCACAACGCACCAATAACAGAGTCCACCTCTTCCTGAACCTTCTTCTGAATGTCAGGGTGTAGAGCCATCGCCAGGAGACACCAGTGGAGCGTGTTCCTAGTGGTGTCTATACCAGCTGAAACGTTACAGTGTAATAACTCAGGGAGAGATTCATTCAAATGGCTAATATGATAAATATCTTGTAAAATAACAGTGAGTGGTGTGTGTAACTCATTGTTTCAAGAACGTGATTCAAGAGAAGAAAGGAAAAATTGAAGAATAATCTTGGAGCAACATTTGAGGATATTGAGGCACGAATTATATATCACAGACCTAGCCAAGATAGTATAGAACTCTCTGGAATGTATTTTGACCATATAAGTGAGCAAGTGCATGCCACAGGCATTTCACATCTGATGCGCTTGTATGAAGACTTTTTGTTCTCACCCTTGTTATCCAGCCTAGGCATTCTAAGAAGCTCGAGTACTGTTCCTGCTGGGTTAATGTTATTATCGCTGATCTAATTCCTATGTCAGCTGCTTTTTTACATTTTACATTTCATGCATGTCCGTACATCAACTCTATTGTAATATCCTTGCCGTATTTCTTATTGACTTCTGAACCAACTTAACTTTGGTAAAATGTTACCTGTCTTTTTAGCGCTTGATGGTTTCAAAATGAATTTTCTTGCGTTTTGTTAAGAATTTTAGTGACTTTATTGTTTTCATTAGGACAATGGCACGTAACTTGTTTTAAGTAATATCATATATATTTTTTTGAATTTGTAAGTTAATTTTGTTTTATTATGGACAGCACGTGAAAGGGCGTTCATTAACTTTCTTTGAGTTGTATACAACTCACACTTTACTAAGGATCACAAAAATTCGCAAATTCATTTAAAAGGTAGATTTATAACCTGATAGTGTATTCATTTAAAACTGTTTGAATAATGATATGGTAACACATATTTAGGAAAACAGCCACTTTAAGCTAACTGTATGCACTTCATACATGAGTAACCATAAAAATGGTTTTCATGGCACCAATCAACCATTTTGCAAATCATGAAACGAGTCATTAACAAGTACACAACTCCTGTCAATAGCAGGTATGGTTTCCACAAGATGAAATGACAAACTGAAACCTAAGATCCATGCTTACAATAAGCTTAGATATTTAAACCAAATTTGGCCCCATATCATAGTTTTCTGTTGAATCTATGACTTGAACCTTTGCAAAGAGTAAATAGTATTTATATGGAGTGAAATCGCATTGGTGCAAACATAAATAGACACATGGTGTGTCAATATGTTGTATATCACCATGGTGTGTCAGTATGTTGTATATCACCATGGTGTGTCAATATGTTGTATATCACCATGGTGTGTCAGTATGTTGTATATCACCATGGTGTGTCAATATGTTGTATATCACCATGGTGTGTCAGTATGTTGTATATCACCATGGTGTGTCAATATGTTGTATATCACCATGGTGTGTCAATATGTTGTATATCACCATTGTGTGTCAGTATGTTGTATATCACCATGGTGTGTCAGTATGTTGTATATCACCATGGTGTGTCAGTATGTTGTATATCACCATGGTGTGTCAGTATGTTGTATATCACCATGGTGTGTTAGTATGTTGTATATCACCATGGTGTGTCAGTATGTTGTATATCACCATGGTGTGTCAGTATGCTGTATATCACCATGGTGTGTCAGTATGTTGTATATCACCATGGTGTGTCAGTATGTTATATATATCACCATGGTGTGTCAGTATGTTGTATATCACCATGGTGTGTCAGTATGTTGTATATCACCATGGTGTGTGTATGTTGTATATCACCATGGTGTGTCAGTATGTTATATCACCATGTCAGTATGTTGTATATCACCATGGTGTGTCAGTATGTTGTATATCACCATGGTGTGTCAATATGTTGTATATCACCATGGTGTGTCAGTATGTTGTATATCACCATGGTGTGTCAATACCATGGTGTGTCAGTATGTTGTATATCACCATGGTGTGTCAGTATGTTGTATATCACCATGGTGTGTCAATATGTTGTATATCACCATGGTGTGTCAGTATGTTGTATATCACCATGGTGTGTCAGTATGTTGTATATCACCATGGTGTGTCAGTATGTTGTATATCACCATGGTGTGTCAGTATGTTGTATATCACCATGGTGTGTCAGTATGTTGTATATATCACCATGGTGTGTCAGTATGTTGTATATCACCATGGTGTGTCAGTATGTTGTATATCACCATGGTGTGTCAGTATGTTGTATATCACCATGGTGTGTCAGTATGTTGTATATATGTAATTGTATATCACCATGGTGTGTCATATGTGGTGTGTCAGTATGTATGTGTATATCACCATGGTGTGTCAGTATGTTGTATATCACCATGGTGTGTCAGTATGTTGTATATCACCATGGTGTGTGGTATGTTGTATATCACCATGGTGTGTATGTTGTATATCACCATGGTGTGTCAGTATGTTGTATATCACCATGGTGTGTCAGTATGTTGTATATCACCATGGTGTGTCAGTATGTTGTATATCACCATGGTGTGTCAGTATGTTGTATATCACCATGGTGTGTCAGTATGTTGTATATCACCATGGTGTGTCAGTATGCTGTATATCACCATGGTGTGTCAGTATGTTGTATATCACCATGGTGTGTCATGGTGTATGCATGTTGTATATCACCATGGTGTGTCAATATGTTGTATATCACCATGGTGAGTCAGTATGTTGTATATCACCATGGTGTGTCAGTATGTTGTATATCACCATGGTATGTCAATATGTTGTATAGCACCAGGAACCAGTGTCACTGGAAGGTTATCATTATGTTTACTGCTGTGTAACACAGTCGTTGATGAAACACAACTGAAACGTCTTGCATAAACTATACCACTCACCAGAAAATAAATCAAAGATTGTCATGGCCATATGTGTGTTTGTAATCTGTGACATGAGGACAGGATCGTCCCCTTCCTCCGCTTCTTGCTGAGCCTGTATCAACGCATCTGTGATGTCCCGTATCTCATCTGTAATGGTTTCAACAATCAATCAGTCTGTAACTCTGTCTGAAGTCGAGTAATTGTCTTGTTTAACTCGGCATGCTGCAGTGGAATAAAAGCAGCAGAGCATTTTTTTCAAGTGTCAGCCAGGAACAGTAAGTTTTACCGTAGGGTAGTAACAGTAGGTTTCACAGTAGGTCTTCCTGGGTTTTAACAGTTGTTTTCTCTAGACGTCAAAAGGACTGACTGACGCATTGACGGATAGTCAAGGCTGGGTATTCTTCCACACTAACAGATTCTATTGAAGAAACGCAAGTCATCGTAAATAATGAGCGGTCTTTTCTAAGCTGACTCATCATTCATTACGAGTGTGTGTGCTATATGAATTAACAACTCTTGGTTCTTAATTTGCTACATCCTAATACGTCCTCACCTTTGTTGAACGTGTTTCTGTGGGTTGCAATTTCTTGCCTGATAGCATCTGATACTTTAGAGGCGATTCGAACAACACGTCTGAATCTCGGCGTTGGGCACAGACGAAGAGGGGGAATAGAATCTTCCAGAAAACCTTCTGCAAAGTCTTTCGCGAAATTGTCCAGAGAGACGACGTACATTTTATAGTATTCAGAGTCTAAATCATAGCTGGAATTAAAAAAAATGCACATTAGTCTGGTTGAACCCCGTTTTATACATTTTTACAGTTGACATCGTTATGTCTCTGTCATATATACACATGGAAAAAAATATCGCATCGTCTCATAGTCCATAGTATCAGTGTGTAGCCTTTACCCATAGTAAAGGAACATATCTAAACCTCAGTTTAGCTTACTACCGGGATACACTGACTCGCATGGAATAAATAAACAGGAAATATAAACGCAAAAAGAACAAAAAACAGAAGTTTATTCAGAGAAGTAAACATGTAGAAAACACTTACTCGTTTTATTGTGCTAACATGGTCGTATGGCTTTAACAGCTGCAGTCATTTTCAATATTTTGGCATACAATCTTCTAAAAATCACGTAAGTATCAATAACCGATCACAATGTCAATATCAGGTGTAACTGCAATGTCTGCAATACCATTCCAGACCCTTCTCCTCATTGACTTAACCAGACGTTAGATTTTCTACTGCAGGACTTCTCTGGGGTATTCAGCGACCCATATTGTCCCAAACATGTTCTATGGGATTGAGATCTGGACTGCTGGGCCATGGTAGAGTTGCTACCGCGTTTTGGCGGAAGAAATCACCAACGGCACGTGCATGATGTGACTTGGCATTGTCGAAGGCGAAGATTGGTCTGGTGTCTAGAGAATGGTCATCGAAATGTGGTACAACAACCTTGTCAAGGAGGGCAGGGAAGCATTGTTGTCTATTCATTTGTTTCCTGATATTCGCAAGGTCAAGTTTACAGTGATGTAAAACGAATCTAGACACTTTCGTTTAATGACCTCATGTCAAATGGTACTTGCTCTCAGATATTCCAGTGTGCATATGCCATGTTTCTGCGACACCATACACGGACTCGGGCATTTGTTATGGACAGAAGAAATACAGTTTCGTCAAACCAGTAGACCGTTCCTCATGACGTCAGATCCCATTGACGCCCAGTTTGAGATCAAACTGGGCTTGCTGCCTTTTGTTCTGGGAATAACAACGACCACCTGAAAAAGTGCAATAATTTATAGATGTCAACTTGCTTATTTTGAGGGATAGGGGAATGATGAAGGAGTAAGAATATACTCCTAAACGTCGTGTGGTGAATAATGAAGGAATAAGAGTATACTCTAAAACGTCGTGTGTTTCAAAATAAAGAAGTTGACATCCATAAATTCTCGCCTTTATGATTATCACTCTAAATGCCGTTCAAAGACCGACCGTCTGAAAGTCCGTTTAGCTGTATAACCGGCCGGTGTATGCGATTTCTGACCGTTCTCCTAGACAAACGACGATGAGAAAGCCCCTCCACTTTTAACAGAACACTTGACATTACCGTGAAGGGCTGTATGGTACCCAGGGGTTGTCACTCTTGGTCGACACGAACGCTGGCGGTTCTTAAAGTCGTCACTTTGCTGATGTCGGTGATAGTCGATACATGACAACCAGCATCTTTTGCAGTATCAATGACCTGCGAGCAGTCAGCATCTTTGAGCAATTGACCCCCTGCTAAACGGTACTTGTTCTCAGATATTCCATTGCATATGCAGTGTTTCTGCGCATCAAACATGAGCTCGGCCATTAAGTCATGAACAGAAGCAATACACTTTCGTCTGACAAGTGGACCCTTCCTTAAATCCAAGTGACGTCCAGTGTGACACCAAGTTGGTTGTGCTGCCTTTTGCTCTGGGAAAAAAGACCGTCTGTATGCGAATTCGGACCGTTCTCCTGGATGAAAGCCACTCTGTTTTTAACACAACATTTGACGTGAATGGATGAAGGCTTGTGATTCTGAGAAAGGATGCATTCTACCCAGGAGTTGTCTTGTTGAAACTTTGAGTTCGTGCATCAACAAATAATTTATCGATTATCTTTGAGAAACAAATGTAGAACAGCATGTGGGTGGTGTTGGTGTCATATTATCAAATTGGTTGGTTCGTGTTTAACTCTGCACTCCAATATTCCAGCCATATGGCAGCGATCTGTAAATATTCGAGTCTAGACCACACGATCCAGTGATCAGCAGCATGAGCATCAATCTCCGCAATTGGGATACGATGTGTCAACCAAGTCAGCGAGCCTGACAACCCGATTCCGTTAGTCGCCTCTAACGACAAGCATGGGAAACTTATGACCATTTATAACCCGGATCTTCACGGATCAAGTATGTTCCAACCTACAATTGAGACATCTTAGACTCACAGAACAACAATACGTATAAAAACAACATATATGTAACAGCAAACAACAACAAAATCATGGTAAATATAATGACCTGATCCTGTTGAACAACGTTCCTGTCATCATGTTGGAGATCGCCAGTGACAGGTAGGGAAAAGGATCAAAGGCTCCTTGCTCCTTTCTCATTAACTTCGTTGAGATGTTTAGTGACTGGGATACTTTCAAGCTGAGGTTATCTCCCATGAGATACTGCCTGAAAAACACATACATATATATAATAGCAAGAAACTAAGTACAATTTAATTTATTTTCATGTATGTGTACATAAATATACATGAAAATATATTAAATTGTAGTTAGTTTCACACATTCATACTTTGGGGATAAATGTATCCATTTTCTCATTAAAACTACAAGCTAAGTCTCGTGTATTACCAACATTAATATCAGTTTTAAACATATCACAGAATTTACATCCATGCATAAGATAAGCACCACCCTGTATTTTTACCAATTAATTTTGTCTGAAATGAAATTCTAAACTCTTTCCGAAAACTAACCTTTATAATTTGATAGAGCAAGCATTTACCATTTCAAAAACGAAAACATCATTAAAATTACCATGTACTTAAATTAGGATAATTGCCTATATTTAAAACAGGTGTTTTTTGTCCTAAAACAAGTTACCTTATTTGAAAAGTGAAAGTTATAATTGATTATTATATGTGTCCTATAAATTCGTTATTCATTGTGTATGGATGAAAGTTTGTAAACTAAGAATTAGGAAAGGTAAGGATCTTGTATTGGATCCTGTGGTGGAGAGGAAGCCAGTGAAGGTCTTGAAACACTGGTCTGATGTGATCCCACATCGCTGTTCAAGTGAAGACTCTTGAAGGTGTATTTTGTACTTTTTGGAGCTTATTTATTAGTTGTTCTGGAAGGCCATATAGAAGCGAGTTACAATAGTCTATAATGGATGTAACATAGGCTTGGATTAGAGCTCGTGTGGTATCCACATCAAGATAGCTACTTATCAGACCAATGTTTCTGATGTGGTGGTATGAACGCTTGCAGACAGAGTTGATACGGATCTCCAAACTGTGACGAGTCAAAGATAACCCCCGGATTCCTGGCATGGGAACTTCAGTTTGGAACTGTGGCAGATGAATCTTTGTACTGGTTTGCTTAGGGGATATGATCGACAACTCTGTCTTGTCATCGTTCGGTTTAAGAAAGTTTGATGTCATCAAGTGCTTTATGTCGTCTACACAGTGTTGGATTCGCTGATAAGATATTGTTACTGGTAGTGGTTTGAAAGCCAGATAGATCTGACTGTCATCAGCGTAGAAGTGAAACTCGAGGTTTTGTGCTCTGGCGATATCACCAGCTGGTAGCCTGTATATAGTGAACAGGATCGGCCCAAAAACAGACCCCTGTGGATCACCATGAAAAAGATCTTTCTTCTGTGGGTTTACACCACCGATACTTACAACCTGTGGTCTACTGGACAAGAACGATCGGATCCATTCCAAAGCTGAACCCTGGACGCCGATCCGGTTATCCAGCACATTAAGAAGCACATTATGATCCACAGTATCGAATGCTGCTGATAAGTCTAATAGCACTAAGATAGCTGCTCCATCTTTGTCAATTGCTTTCAGGAGGTCACTCTGAACTCTTGTCAGGGCAGTCTCTGTGCTGTGGTGGGTCCCATAGGCCGACTGGTAGACGTCGTAACATTCATTTTCCAACATGTGCTCTTTCAGTAAAAGTTGTTTTACAAACCAAACAAATAGATTAATGATGCTGTTTTCAGTTTTTGTCAATTAGCAATCTGAATTGTTGGAAAAAGGTCTGAATCTTTGACATTCGGGTTCTTCCTGATTATACATATTTAAAGCTTACTTGATGTGTAAATGTCATCTTGATATATAACTGATTTGTTATTTTTGGTCAAAACTTAATTTAATTGTGTAGTTTCAGCAGGAGAGGAATAGTTATTTTGGGTAAAAATTCAGTCCCATCACATTTTCATCAACATATTCTTTCATAAAGAATAGAAAAGGTTATGGTATTTGTAAAATCTGTCAATGGATAAAGCTTCTTTAACTACAGGTTGATTAAATTGATGGCTATAACTTAACTTTTCTGTAGCATCACATCTTTATTTTCAAAATAGGGTGGTGCTTAATTAATGCACAGGTGTACGTTTGTTTCTTTAAGAATTTCTTAGTGCCAGTACAAACAGGGGTGTCGTAACTTAAGCAGTTTATTGGAGATGAATATCACATTATTGTATATTATAATGTACTGTTTGTAGAAATGTATCGCACTTATCCAGTATAACCCACGTGTCGTTGACAAAAACAATCTAAATTTACCTGAGTGCCTTAGATGCAATTTTACGGTGCAACTTCCATCTTGGGCCGTACGATGCCTGGGCTATGTCTTTTCCTCCCTCAGTGATTGTACGTACTTTGGATATATAAAGTGTATGAACTGACCAGGTGTAAGTCAACGCTCATTCCAACGCATGAGAGAATTTTGACGGTTTTATGAGGTATCATAATCCAAAACCATGAGAACTAGGAAACAACTTTCATGAAAATATCCTAATAACGATTATTAGTGAGTGAGTGAGTGAGTTAAGTTTTACGCCGCACTCAGCAATATTTCAGGTATATGGCGGCGGTCTGTAAATAATCGAGTCTGGACCAGACAATCCAGTTATCAACAGCATGAGCATTGATCTGCGCAATTGGGAACCGATGACATGTGTCAACCAAGTCAGCGAGCCTGACCTCCCGATCCCGTTAGTCGCCTCTTACGACAAGCATGGGTTGCTGAAGGCCAATATTGTAACCCGGACCTTCACGGGTCAATAACGATTATCAAATCGGAAAGGGAGACGTTTAAAGATTTGCAATTTCTTGTAAACATACAAATATAATCTGCATGGCATTCAAAAATATTTAAATGTTCAATATTACCCAAAATGAAGGAATAAAAAGTATAGAGCTGAATAATGAATTATATGGTCTGGTTCGAAGAATGTGTGTGGAGCCCTTGTGGTAAATGACTGAGTTCCCTTACAAACAAATGTTTGGGGTCTTCCTGCGAAGTCTGCTTGCCTTGTAATGAGGGCTTCCGTTACAACATCGATTCGACTTCAGAACAATTGCAGTTAGAGTACCTGAAAATCAATATGTTCATTTCTATTAATGTAAAGAATGCCTTCTTATCAGCGAATATATTGCATACATGTACATACGTGTCTTCTGTGCAGGGTGCAGTGTTACTGTTGTAGTGTGAGTAAGAAACTACCCATGACACACGATCCATGTCCAGACTGACCATCACAGTGGACCATGTAAGGTGTCCTCAGTATTCACCTGAGAGCTGTATGAGTTCTACGTTTACCCAGTCTAGAAATGAATAACTTGCATACATAGGTGTTTTCTAAGAGGGTGTGAAATTGCAGTGTTACTGGTGCAGTGTGAGCACGAAACTACCCACGGCACACCACCTAAGTGCAGATTGACCATAACAATGGACCATGTAAGGTGTAATCAGTATTTACGTCAGAGCTGTGTGCATTCTACATTCACCCAGTCTAGAAATGTTAATTGAAATAGACACCAATTTCCTTTCGTGAGGATCTACATACTGGCATACAGTATATACATATCTGGTATTCACTGTCTTTTCTCTGTCTGTCTGTCTGTGTGTGTGTGTGTGTGTGTGTGTGTGTGCGTGTGTCCGTGCGTGCGTGCGTGCGTGCACAGTTCATTTTCATCCGTTTTACGAGAGTCTAAAGATCACTGTTAAATAGTGCTGGTACCAAGTGTTCACAAAAAACCTAACGATGCACTTGAAGATCTAAAACTAAGGATGCATCTAAAGATCTCTATCAAATAGTGATAGTACCAAGTGTTCACCAAAACTAAGGATGCATCCAAAGATCACTATTAAATAGTTATGGTACCAGGTGTTTACAACAATAGCCAGGAGTGTCCTGCCCCACCTGTCGCACCTATTAGAGACACGAAGATGAACACTTTTTATGGATAGACAACATCTTTATTGCAGTAGATGCTAGGTTTCGCCGTAGATGCTAACACCATTATCAAACAACTGATCATTCATCAATCATCATTTGCTTGATAACAATAAAGAAGTTGAGTTCCTCTTCATCATACCATTCAAAATGCCACTTAAGAAGTTATATACACATGCGATCACGAGGCAAGTCAAGCGTTCACCAGAATAAGAAACACACCCAAAAAGCCTATATGGTGCGTCAAAATGGATAACTGCACTAGATATATTTGTCACTGATGCGTTAAATTTGAAGATGCACTCTACATCTGTACCTGATACATCATTGTACCATCGTGAACCAGGTAATCTTACCCAACTGAATCGTCATAACTGGACCGTATGTTTTGCTCCAATCACTGAGTTTTCGGAACAGGAGACCCCCTCGCACCTCTGGAGATAAAAAGTACCATCATGATGTGGTTTTACTTACATGGCTCTTCTTACATGCTTAATTACATGGTCGTATTTACACATTATATACGCATGGTTTTTGTTACATGATTGCATGTACATGGATGTTTCTACATCGGTCGCAGCCACGTTATAGATGTAGTTACAGAGTCCTGATCCACAAAGCGTTCGTAACGTAACGAGCTGTCGTAACTCTATAGTTTATCGTTGGCTTACGAATGTTGTTGCGCTACGAACGTTTTGTGGATGGGGACCCATAGTTGTACTCAGATTGTAGTTACTACAACGTGATGCTTGATACATTGTTGCATTCAGACTGCAACGCTAACCTGTTTCTAGTTACATGGTTGCAGTTACATAGCTGAGTGAGTGAGTGTGTTTAGTTTTACGCCGCTCTCAGCAATATTCCAGTCTGTCTGTAAATAATCAAATCTGGACCAGACAATCCAGTGATCAACGGCATGAACATCGATCTACGCAAATGGGATACGATGACATGTGTCAACCAAGTCAGCGAGTCTGACGACAACCATGGGTTACTGAAAATCAGTTCTAACCCGGATCTTCACGAGTAAGTTACATAGCTGCATTTACGCTTGTACTTATTTTATGCTGTCCAAACATACGTGAATGGTTGTACTTACATGGTTGTATTTACATGGGGAAATCGAAAACATCATCATTTAATCAAGTAATCTGATGTGTAGTTATATTGAGCTGACATGTCAAATCCAAAATGAATATGACACATACATAAAGGTCACTAACTCAAAATAGAAAAATAAGTTATCATTGAATTCATTCATTCGATGAGTAGAACTATCGATCTGACGTGTGAAATTCATAAATATGTATTTAAGTCACTTACCCAAAAGGTTTCCAATCAATGGCCATCCCTTGGGCCCGGGCGGTAGGTTGTATCGTTTCTTGAAGAGATTATAGGCGATCACTCCAACCACACTCCCAACAACAAGAGCCTGGATTACCACAGACTGCGGCCACAACTGAGTTAAACATTCAAGCATCGTTCTTCTGTAGATTGTCCTGTAACATAAGGAAATCACAGCCACTTAATATTGTAAGACATATCAGTCAAATACAAACCAGATTGTATGATTCCGACTTGAAATTGACTGATACGACTGTAAAAAATTAAACACATACATGTTTACACCTTAGGGTCAACACGCATTCTGCAAATGTCATCTAGGGTACACCGACAAAGGCGATCTCAGCGATGTTGACTTTGTTGTATGCTATTTCCGGTATCGACCTTATTAAGTCCGTACTAAGATTATTGCATTGTGTGTTAGAGTTCGGGAAGACCTCAGTCATACTGTTCTGTGGGCATGATCTTGGGCTGCAGTAGCTATTAAACCGATGAACCATTATATATAACGGATTGAGTGACTTGGACGAGTTCATCATACAACCAAATATGCACCTCGGTGTTAACGGACCTGTTCATAGACTGAAAGAGCATATGCCAACGGACAATTACAAATATTACATTCTGATACGCTCCCCAACACAACAGATGTCTAAAATACACATGTGGTAGAATATTAAGGATCAGAATCTGTACAACTTTCATTTTTTGAGATGATGACATTGTTTCACAGGATTCATCACAATGCTATACTAGGTGTGAACAAGAATGGAGTAACCAAGCACAATATATATGAACACACAAGATTAAAATTAAAATACATTTTTACATTTTTTTCAAATACATTTAGATTACCACACGAAGAAGGCCTATAGGCTATTTTGCATAAGATTTTATGAATGTAATTTAAGAACCGTTTTATCTGTAAAATATGTTCATTACAGAGACCAGATGTTAGTTTACATAGAACAACCATGTAATTAAACTATTTAGCAGCAACTATGCAACTACAGCCATGTAATTAAACTATTTCGCAGCAACTATGCAACTACAACCATGTAATTAAACTATTTAGCAGCAAGTATGCAACTACAGCCATGTAATTAAACTATTTAGCAGCAAATATGCAACTACAACCATGTAATTAAACTATTTAGCAGTAACTATGCAACTACAACCATGTAACTACCGCACAGTAACTAAAACTGTATCTTCAACCTAACTACATCTATGTATCTACAACCTATTTACAACCATGTAACTGCAACAATGAATCACAACCATATAACTACGACCACGTAAGTACAACCATGTAACCACAACCATGTAACCAAAACCAAGTAACTACAACCACGTAACCACAACAACGTAACAACAACCACGTAGCTACAACCACGTAGCTACAACCATGTAACTACAACCATGTAACTACAACCATGTAACTACATCCATGTAACTACAACCATGTAACTACAACCATGTAACTACATCCATATAACCACAACCATGTAACTACAACCACGTAACTACAACCATGTAAAAACAGCCATGTAACTACAACCACGTAGCTACAACCATGTAACAACAACCACGTAGCTACAACCATGTAAAAACAGCCATATAACTACAACCATGTAACTACAGACATGTAACAACAACCACGTAACTACAACCATGTAACTACAACCCTGTAACTATAACTGCGTAACTACAACCACGTTACAACAACCATGTAACTATAACCACGTAACTACAACCATGTAACTACAACCATGTAACTACAACAACGTAACTACAACCATGTAACTACAACCATGTAGCTTACAGCCACGTAACTACAGCCATGTAACTACAACCATGTAACTATAACCGTGTAACTACAACCACGCAACTACAACCATGTAACTACAACCATGTAACTACAACAACGTAAGTACAACCATGTAACTACAACCACGTAACTACAACTACGTAACTACAACCACGTAGCTACAACCACGTAACTACAACCATATAACTACAACCACATAACAACATCCACGTTACTACATCCATGTAATTACAACCATGTAACTACTTCCATGTAACTACAACCATGTACATGTAACTACATCCATGTAACTACAGCCATGTAACTACAACCACATAACAACATCCACGTTACTACATCCATGTAACTACACCCATGTAACTACAACCACGTAACTACATCCATGTAACTACGACCACGTAACTACAACCATGTAACTACAACCACGTAACTACATCCATGTAACTACAACCACGTAACTACATCCATGTAACTACAACCATGTAACTACATCCATGTAACTACAACCACATAACAACATCCACGTTACTACATCCATGTAACTACAACCATGTAACTACTTCCATGTAACTACAACCATGTAACTACAACAACGTAACTACAACCACGTAACTACAACCAACCACGTAACTACATCCACGTAACTACATCCATGTAACTACAACCATGTAACTACATCCACGTAACTACAACCACGTAACTACAACCACGTAACTACAACCATGTAACTACAATCCATGTAACTACATCCATGTAACTACAACCATGTAACTACAACCATGTAACTACAACCATGTAACTACAACCATGTAACTACAACCACGTAACTACAACCATGTAACTACAACCACGTAACTACAACCATGTAACTACAACCATGTAACTACAACCACATAACAACATCCACGTAACTACATCCATGTAACTACAACCATGTAACTACTTCCATGTAACTACAACCATGTAACTACAACCATGTAACTACAGCCATGTAACTACAACCACATAACAACATCCACGTTACTACATCCATGTAACTACAACCATGTAACTACAACCATGTAACTACAACCGCGTAACTACATCCATGTAACTACAACCACGTAACCACAACCATGTAACTACAACCACGTAACTACAACTACGTAACTACAACCATGTAACTACAACAACGTAACTACAACCACGTAACTACAACCACGTAACTACATCCATGTAACTACAACCATGTAACTACAACCATGTAACTACATCCATGTAACTACAGCCATGTAACTACAACCACATAAGAACATCCACGTTACTACATCCATGTAACTACAACCATGTAACTACATCCATGTAACTACAACCACGTAACCACAACCATGTAACTACAACCACGTAACTACAACTACGTAACTACAACCATGTAACTACAACCACGTAACTACATCCATGTAACTACAACCACGTAACTACATCCACGTAACTACACCCATGTTACTACAACCATGTAACTACATCCATGTAACTACAACCACGTAACTACATCCATATCATGTAACTACATGCAGGCTTGACGTGTTAATGTTTCTACGTATCTTAAGTCAATGTGTAGTTTACTGGTTTCACATCCTATTGTAGCCCGACTGCCTATTGTACTGTATAAACACTTCCCACACTTCCCTCACAATCCTTACTCTTGCTTGCCTGATAACACTGTTAGAACCTACACCCCCAAACGTCTCACCGTAATCAAGAAGTTGAACATTAATACATTGTTATCCTTTCTTACACATCTCTGAGTGAGTGAGGTTCAACAGTGAATCTGAGAGTGTAGGGAAGCCACTGCTGAATAACGACACAAGACCCGACACTATGGTATATCATGACAATGACTTAAGAAATACAGTTCGCTCTACCACCATGGTTAGTGTAATAAAGCACACTTTCGTCCTGAACTATTATAGTTAAAGCACGAACACATGGTGGTAGAGCCAACTGTATTTCTTTTCTAAAATTCCAAATTTAATACTTTCTAAGGATAATGACGATTAATTTAAGGCAGAAAACAAACGACGGTGTCAGTGACCTAAATTAAGAATCCTCGCACAGGGCTAACTTGCGCGCTGTTCTATTGATGTGTCTGCCCCCCTACGTTAAGACGAACGTTACCAGAAAAAAACAAAATTGTTCGATTACGAGGGGGCAGACTAGAATGGCGCAGTGCCGCGAACACATTGTGACGTAATGCAAAAAGTGCACATTATCGCCTGATAAAGTACTTTCTGCGACTTTGATCTTTCACCGAAGCATATTAGAATCTGTGATATATCATAAGAACGACACTGACACTGTAATATATCATGATAATGACACCAACACTGTGATATATCATGATAACTACACCGACACTTTGATATATCATACGAACAACACTGACACTGTGATATATCATGATAATGAGGATGTGACACTGTGATATATCATGATAACGACACCAACACTGTGATACATCATGATAACGATGGTCTGACACTGTGATATATCATGTCAACAACAGCGACACTGTGATATATCATGATAACGATGGTGTGACACTATGATATATCATGACTACACCGACACTATGATACGTCATGATAACGACGGTGTGACACTGTGATACATCATGTTAACAACACCGACACTGTGATACATCATGATAACGATGATGATGTGAAACTGTGATATATCATGTCAACAACACTGACCCTGTGATACGTCATGATAAAGATGGTGTGACACTGTGATATATCATGTTAACATCACCGACACTGAGATACTTCATGATAACGACGGTGTGACACTGTGATAAATCATGTCAATAACACCGACACCGTGATACATCATGATAACGACGGTGTGACACTGTGATATATCATGACTACACCGACAACAAACGAATATTGTGTCATGCCCTGTTTGATTGTGGAAATGCACTGTTTTAAATGTTACAAACCAATAAAACGTTCACCCCGTAACGACAACTACATCTGCTTCCCCTCGACTACAAGACAGAGACGACCACCCAGTAACCACGGTACAGTAAATACTGTCTGGAGGACTACACATTACACACAGAGAAGCTGTTTGTTGACATCGGAGCATATCCGGAAAACCGTCTCTGTAATTGACAATGGATAACGTGGGAACGGTGATGTCAGTAAGTATATAATATTACATACCTCGAAATACAGCAAAGGGCGGCAGTCGTCCTGGTAGAGAATCCAGTGTGAAGCCCGCAGGCACGAAAGACAGACCCCAGTACACTGGCACAGTGAGCTCTACGAGTGAGATAATAACATCGAGCCAAGCCATGACCCACTTTTGACTGTGCAGATATTGAGGGCGTGTTGTTTGTGGGCGTGGATGTGTTGCTGTTCAGCGAGAATGAATGATTTTCTCCTGTTGAAATACTATATGTTTAAACATTAAATCAATTCAGAGGCTATTCAGATACGCAGCAACAGATTTGCAGAGCGAGATACAGCCACTCCAAAATTTCCCCGGGACACATTGAATTTGAAACTTGTAAGTAGAGGTTTGATTTTATTTCCACCAACCTGAGGGACTAAGTGAGATATGTGCATGCGTTGTATGACCAGGCTTTAACGTAGAAATAGGATCCTTACAAGTGCTACACCCCAAGGCACGTAATTGGTGGAATTGTTTTAAAATCAAACTTACAGGTGAGTATCGTTTATTTGTTAAGTTCCACCTGCTTATTCCGTACTTTCGGAATCCCGTGAGAGATTTGGACAAGGAATTGAGTGAGTATGGTTTATGCCGCTTAAGCAATATTCCAGCAATGCCACGAGGACACCACACCAGTGAGGAATCGAACCCGGGCATTCGGCGTGACGAGCGAACCAGGCTATCCCCACCGCCCCGTAGACAAGTTACTGGTGAGAGTGTGTTGTTAGTGGCGAGGATATGTTGATATTCAGTTAGTGGCGAGGATATGTTGATGTTCAGTTAGTGGCGAGGATATGTTGATGTTCAGTTAGTGGCGAGTGTATGTTGATGTTCAGTTAGTGGCGAGGGTATGTTGATGTTCAGTTAGTGGTGAGGATATGTTGATGTTCAGTTAGTGGCGAGGGTATGTTGATGTTCAGGTAGTAGTGAGGATATGTTGATGTTCAGGTAGTGGCGATATGTTGATGTTCAGTTAGTGGCGAGGATATGTTGATGTTCAGGTAGTGGTGAGGATATGTTGATGTTCAGTTAGTGGCGAGGATATGTTGATGTTCAGTTAGTGGTGAGGATATGTTGATGTTCAGTTAGTGGTGAGGATATGTTGATGTTCAGTTAGTGGTGAGGATATGTTGATGTTCAGGTAGTGGCGAGGATATGTTGATGTTCAGGTAGTGGTGAGGATATGTTGATGTTCAGGTAGTGGCGAGGATATGTTGATGTTCAGGTAGTGGTGAGGATATGTTGATGTTCAGGTAGTGGCGAGGATATGTTGATGTTCAGTTAGTGGCGAGGATATGTTGATGTTCAGGTAGTGGTGAGGATATGTTGATGTTCAGGTAGTGGCGAGGATATGTTGATGTTCAGGTAGTGGCGAGGATATGTTGATGTTCAGGTAGTGGTGAGGATATGTTGATATTCAGTTAGTGGCGAGGGTATGTTGATATTCAGTTAGTGGCGAGGGTATGTTGATGTTCAGTTAGTGGAGAGGATATGTTGATGTTCAGTTAATGGTGTGTTGATGTTCAGTGAGAATGAATTATTGCATCCACTGGTTACCTAGGGTGCAATCAATACTAAATATATTTAAAGATTAAATCAATTCAGATGTTATTCAGGCTGTTGAAGCTATTAGTACACCAATACAATAGGTCTGCTTGGCTAGATACAGGTGGCCCGGGATTTGTCAGTTCAACAACACTCCACCGTTTGTTTCTATTCTGCTGTAACTGGTCACAGACAAGCAGTTGACGATGCCCACGCCGTTGCTCTCATCGCCACAGAGCAAACACGAACATGATGTTTGTAACATTATTAGCTTAACAGCATGATAAACCAGTTGCAAACTAGTTGCACAAATTCCATAGGCTATGGGCTACAAGTTTACCACGAATGACATTAAGCCTTGTGGTCTTATTGACACTGACTTAATTGTCACCCTGTCTTCTTGTGGTTTTCATTCCAGACACGACACCGAGACCATTTTTGAAGATATTTTATTACAGACAGTTCATAATGTACAAATCAGATACAGGTATGGGATTTCCCCAAACATTTGCAGCACTTAATTGATCTAGTATATCATTCCAAGCCAACTCGACTCGACATTCAATGTATATTCAATATTTCAGTGAAATAAATAATAATGTATATACAAATGTACATGTAGCACTTAGTGATCATTGATAAGCTGGTATGTCACGATTCATTCAGCACATGGGAGAGGCAAACATGGACGGGTAGGGGTATCCTGGATACATGGGCATCATGGGAGCTGCAGGTACCGGGTACGGGAAAACCATCATGGGTCCGGACCCCATGTAACCATATCTGGGTGTCGATGCACCAGGAGTGTGTGATTTGCTGCGTGCACGTTTGTTCTGGAACCAGACCTACAAATAAACACAAAATGAGTAAAGGTGATATTTACAATATAGTTATATATCGATCAACAATTGTTGATATACATTAAAAACAAATATCTTTCACAAAAAATGACAGCGATTAATTGAATGATTATTATTGAAGCAAATGATAAAAAAACAGACACTTGTGGTTTGTAGCACTCTTTTACTATTTTAGTCTATTCTACAGATGATGGCGACGATATATGATACATAGGGGGGGGGGGGGGCTAAGTTTTCTTTAAATGACATGCATGCATTATATTTTATTCAAGATTATGTTATCCGGCTTACCTTGATCTTCTTGACGGGAATATCCAGTTTCAGTGACAATTCCTCAAATACTTCATAGTCGGGATATTTGCATTCAGAGAAGGTCTTCTCCATGGCCCTGACTTGTTTCTGGGTGTAGAAGGTGCGCCCGCCAGGAGCTCGCATCCTCTGGGGGACTACAGGGCTGATCTCTGGGGATGGGATACTGGGATTGGACCTGGTGGGACTCGGTGCCGGACTAGGATCACTGAACACACCACTGGAAGCTTGACTGGACGCAGGGCTAGGACTGCGATGTGAACTTATGTTGTCCTCGACTGAAAGTACATTTAGTAATATGAGATTATAGGATGATATAAGAGGTGACTAACGGGATCGGGTGGTTAGGCTCGCCGACTTGGTTGACACATGTCATCGTATCCGAACTGATATATAGATACGAATAAGGTTCTTGAGAGGCATATAGAAGTTGGAATTATAAGACAAAATATTACGAATGTCAACTTCTTCTTTATACATATAGATCGATTATCATGTTGACAGGCAACTTACAGGCAGCCAGCTGGAATATTGCCGAGTGTGGCTTTAAACAAACAAGTGTGAACGTTTATAATACGCTAAAAAATATATGCGTGGCTGAAATACCTTTGTTGTAATATTCTTGCATACGGTGCGCTTCAACGACAGAGGATGCCATGGTTTGTGGGACAGATGGCATCTGTGGCATAATATGCTGAAAGACTGAAGGCTGGTACGACATGTATCCTGGGTAGACAGATGGGTACATCCCTGGTGTGGGCATGGGGTAGAAGGCATGGGGAGGCATTAATCCATACGGGTAGCTTGGCACTGAGGGTGGTGGGTACTCGCTGATAAGAGGTGTACAAACAGTTTTTGCTTCTTGTTGGGTGGTAGTCTCGATGGCGTCGCTGGTTTTTGGTGAGTCGCAGGAAGTATCAGCTCGTGCGGAGTTGTCCTCTGTTTCATCGAATGCGACATGAAGTGCATCTGTGCCACTGTCGTCTGAGCTTATATTATCGTCGGTCTTCTCCTTTTTGATGATGTCGATGACGTTGTAGTGAGAGACGTGTTTCTCTGGTGTCATGCACTCTTTTTTGATTGGGCGCTGTGTGGAAGCTGGACCCGAACACCCATCATCAGGAAAGAGACATCTTGCTGACTTGGAAGCTGGTTCGGAGGTAAACTGCAACAAAAAGAGACAGATATAAATAAGTGTTAGATATAAAATGGTTGGTACAGTTGATAAGGAACGTCGAAGTAGATATTTTGAACATTTTGAAAACATTTTAAATTTTGACTGCATGCTAAATCGCCAACGATAACAGAAATGTAATACAGCGCCGTGAGCATATTTGTGTGGATTGCTGCTTTACACTAGCTGCCTTATTATTTAATAATTTATTTCAATTATCTGTAGCGCTTATTCGGCAGACTCACCTTGTTGTCCATATTTGATTTTGAGGTAACGATCCTTCTCACTAACAACTCGTGGGGTATAATTAATTTCGAGGTTACGATCCTTGCAAAACAGACACTGATGTAAGAGCAGGTGATTCGCAGTGGAATGTGAGGATAAGAGGTCCCGTCCCTCAGTTTATACCCACCTCCAAACACATCAACTAAAACAACTGATGTACAGAGGTAAGGTAATCAGCGTTGATTGCATCAGGGCCTTTGTCAGGAGATAATCTCTGTGAAAATCATCTCATTGCTGTCAGTTAATCCCGTAATCTGTCACTCAAGTAGATAGATGTTCGGCTTGGAATTAGAAAAGGTGTCATTTCGATTGCTCGGGATGCGATCTTGTAAAAACACCTTAAAACAACAATTCAAGAGCTCATGAACAACAGTGGATGTACCTTGATTAATCACCTATCACTTCAAAGAAACCTTGATTGGATTTGCGTTGTTGTCTGTTCAGTTTGAACGATGTGTGACACTGAGTTAGACTCAATAAGAAGTTTTACTCAGAATGACAGTAGAGGTACACAATGAAAACAACCTGTTTAGGCTTCCTTTGAAGGTTGCAACATATTCGTCACGCGTTTTAGGCTTCCCTAAAGAAAATAGGCAGTAGATCTTATTCATAAGTTACATCAATGTATATGGCAATGATTGTGTTGTGTTTAAAACGATCTTTATGAATATAAAGAGGTTAAATATTCTGAATTGTTAAGAGCCAAATTACTTTTTGACACTCATGCCAAACGGCTGTGAATCTCATGAATGGTTATACGCCAATTTCTCATGAAGAAACGCCAATTCTCCAATGTGCATGATTATACTTTTAAAGCGAACAATCGTTACAATTCGCAATTTGTAATACTGTTAGTCCCACAACGGTTCAATTTACGAATATGACATATGTAATGTTCGATAATATTAACATAAAGCACAAGACTGCTTCGTCGTAGAAGTCGTGGCTACAGTCAGTGTGCGTTTATTTTCGTTTCGTACTTGATTTAAACATTATATTTCCAATGAAAGGAACCGAATTGGTTAGCAAGCATAAGCTTATATCAATACCGCTCCGGGATACAATGGAAGAGTAAACATGTCATGATGAATGTACAATGTGAATGATATTGAAATGTTGCCAAAACGAGAAATAATGCCAATCATTGTTAACCAGTATATGTCATATCAACAAATTACTTGGGATCAAATCGTACTGTAATCTGTAATGGAGCAGACGACGTTATGGATAACAACTTCTTGTTATCACTTCTTGATAACGGTGTAAGAATCAACATCGAAAAGTCGTTCTATGCAATAATAAAAAGCTGTTATCTACAAATCGACACACCAGCTTCTAGGATACTTTTATTCCGGACAGGTAAACACACAAATTGCCGTTATAAGTGTAGAGCTCTGAAAAACGTCTATACTGTGGGGGAACATGAAGTGTATTTTATTATAATTTTTTTTATTTCCATTTTTTTTAAAAATCTTACATGAAGTTTATGCAATATTGACTTTTAAACTACCACCTAATGTCCACAAAATGGGTGGTAAAAGTATTGAAACTTTGCTGAAACTATTGGATTAACATAGTCGATGTGTCTTCACTTTACATCGTGTGTGAGCATAAATATATATGAAAACAAGCAACAGGTTAGTTAAATGAACAATAGTAGCGCCTTACTGGCTTCATATAATATAAAATTCGCGTAAAGTCATTTCCGACCTAGCCTCCTAAACGTCGACAAATGTCAACGGACTGTGGTAATATAAGTACCCCCTCGTAAGAAATAGCGAAAAGTAACAACAAAATAATGATCGTTAACTTTATATTAGGGTGTCCAAACCATCAGAGTTGGTCTGTCGATTGACACTGACTTAATTGTCACCCTTTTTTCATGTGGTTTTCATTCCAGACACGACACCGAGACCATTTTTGAAGATATTTTATTACAGACAGTTCATAATATACAAATCAGATACAGGTATGGGATTTCCCCAACATTTGCAGCACTTAATTGATCTAGTATATCATTCCAAGCCAACTCGACTCGACATTCAATGTATATTCAATATTTCAGTGAAATAAATAATAATGTATATACAAATGTACATGTAGCACTTAGTGATCATTGATAAGCTGGTATGTCACGATTCATTCAGCACATGGGAGAGGCAAACATGGACGGGTAGGGGTATCCTGGATACATGGGCATCATGGGAGCTGCAGGTACCGGGTACGGGAAAGCCATCATGGGTCCGGACCCCATGTAACCATATCTGGGTGTCGATGCACCAGGAGTGTGTGATTTGCTGCGTGCACGTTTGTTCTGGAACCAGACCTACAAATAAACACAAAATGAGTAAAGGTGATATTTACAATATAGTTATATATCGATCAACTATATGTTGATATACATTAAACACAAATATCTTTCACAAAAAATGACAGCGATTAATTGGATGATCATTATTGAAGCAAATGATAAAAACTCAGACACTTGTGGTTTGTAATACACTTATACTATTTTAGTCTATTCTACAGATGATGGCGACGATATATGATACATGGGTGGGGGGGACTAAGCTTTTCTTTAACTGACATACATGCATTATTTTTTGTTCAAGATTATGTTATCCGACTTACCTTGATCTTCTTGACGGGAATATCCAGTTTCAGTGACAATTCCTCAAATACTTCATAGTCGGGATATTTGCATTCAGAGAAGGTCTTCTCCATGGCCCTGACTTGTTTCTGGGTGTAGAACGTGCGCCCGCCAGGAGCTCGCATCCTCTGAGGGACTACAGGGCTGATCTCTGGGGATGGGATACTGGGATTGGACCTGGTGGGACTCGGTACCGGACTAGGATCACTGTACACACCACTGGAAGCCTGACTGGACGCAGGGCTAGGACTGCGATGTGAACTGATGTTGTCCTCGACTGAAAGTACATTTAGTAATATGAGATTATAGGATGATATAAGAGGCGACTAACGGGATCGGGTGGTTAGGCTCGCCGACTTGGTTGACACATGTCATCGTATCCGAACTGTTATATAGATACGAATAAGGTTCTTGAGAGGCATATAGAAGTTGGTATTAACTATATAAGACAAAATATTACGAATGTCAACTTCTTCTTTATACATATAGATCGATTATCATGTTGTTGATCACTAACTTACAGGCAGCCAGTTGGAATATTGCTGAGTGTGGCTTTAAACAAACAAGTGTGAACGTTTATAATACGCTAAAAAATATATGCATGGCTGAAATACCTTTGTTGTAATATTCTTGCATACGGTGCGCCTCAACGACAGAGGATGCCATGGTTTGTGGGACAGATGGCATCTGCGGCATAATATGCTGAAAGACTGAAGGCTGGTACGGCATGTATCCTGGGTAGACAGATGGGTACATCCCTGGTGTGGGCATGGGGTAGAAGGCATGGGGAGGCATTAATCCATACGGGTAGCTTGGCACTGAGGGTGGTGGGTACTCGCTGATAAGAGGTGTACAAACAGTCTTTGCTTCTTGTTGTGTGGTAGCCTCGATGGCGTCGCTGGTTTTTGGTGAGTCGGAGGACGTATCAGCTCGTGCGGAGTTGTCCTCTGTTTCATCAAATGCAACATGAAGTGCATCTGTGCCACTGTCGTCTGAGCTTATACTCTCGTCGGTCTTCTCCTTTTTGATGATGTCGATGACGTTGTAGTGAGAGACGTGTTTCTCTGGTGTCATGCACTCTTTTTTGATTGGGCGCTGTGTGGAAGCTGGACCCGAACACCCATCTTCAGGAAAGAGACATCTTGCTGACTTGGAAGCTGGTTCGGAGGTAAACTGCAACAAAAAGAGACAGATATAAATATTGTTAGATATAAAATGGTTGGTACAGTTGATTAGGAACGTCGAAGTAGATATTTTGAAAATTTTGAAAACATTTTAAGTTTTGACTGCATGCTAAATCGCCAGCGATATCAGAAATGTAGTAAAGCGCCTCGAGCATATTTGTGTGGATTGCTGCTTTACACTAGCTGCCTTATTATTTTATAATTTATTTCAATTATCTGTAGCGCTTATACGGCAGACTCACCTTGTTGTCCATATTTGATTTTGAGGTAACGATCCTTCTCACTCACAAACTGGTGGGGTATAATTAATTTCGAGGTTACGATCCTTCCAGAACAGACACTGATGTAAGAGCGGGTGATTCGCAGTGGAATGTGAGGATCAGAGGTCCCGTCCCTCAATTTATACCCACCTCCAAACACATCAACTAAAACAACTGATGTACAGAGGTAAGGTAATCAGCGTTGATTGCATCAGGGCCTTTGTCAGGAGATAATCTCTGTGAGACCATTTCATTGCTGTCAGTTAATCCCGTAATCTGTCACTCAAGTAGATAGATGTTCGGCTTGGAATTAGGAAAGGTGTCATTTTGGTTGCTCGGGATGCGATCTTGTAAAAACACCTTAAAACAACAATTCAAGAGCGCATGAATAACAGTGGATGTATCTTGATTAATCGCCTATCACTTCAAAGAAACCTTGATTGGATTTGCGTTGTTGTCTGTTCAGTTTGAACGATGTGTGACACTGAGTTAGACTCAATAAGAAGTTTTACTCAGAATGACAGTAGAGGTATACAATGAAAACAACCTGTTTAGGCTTCCTTTGAAGGTTTTAACATATTCGTCACGCGTTTTAGGCTTCCCTAAAGAAAATAGGCAGTAGATCTTATTCATAAGTTACATCAATGTATATGGCAATGATTGTGTTGTGTTTAAGACGATCTTTATGAATATAAAGAGGTTAAATATTCTGAATTGTTAAGAGCCAAATTACTTTTTGACACTCATGCCAAACGGCTGTGAATCTCATGAATGGTTATACAAAGAAACGCCAATTCTCCAATGTGCATGATTATACTTTTCAAGTGAACAATCGTTACAATTCGCAATTTGTAATACTGTTAGACCCACAACGGTTCAATTTACGAATATGACATATGTAATGTTCGATAATATTAACATAAAGCACAAGACTGCTTCGTCGTAGAAGTCGTGGCTACAGTCAGTGCGCGTTTATTTTCGTTTCTTACTTGATTTAAACATTATATTTCCAATGAAAGGAACCGAATTGGTTAGCAAGCATAAGCTTATATCAATACCGCTCCGGGATACAATGGAAGAGTAAACATGTCATGATGAATGTACAATGTGAATGATGTGAAATGTTGCCAAAACGAGAAATAATGCCAATCATTGTTAACCAGTATATGTCATATCAACAAATTACTTGGGATCAAATCGTACTGTAATCTGTAATGGAGCAGACGACGTTGTGGATAACAACTTCTGGTTATCACTTCTTGATAACGGTGTAAGAATCTACATCGAAAGGTCGCTCTATGCAATAATAAAAAGCTGTTATCTACAAAGTTGTATGCTTCCTTATCGACACACCAGCTTCTAGGATGCCGATCAAACAATTACTTTTATTCTGGACAGGCAAACACACAAAATTACCGTTATAAGTATAGCTCTGAAAAACGTCTATACTGTTGGGGAACTTGAAATACATGAAGTTTATTTTATTATATATGTTTATTTCCATTATTTTTGAATTTTGGTTTACACGAAGTTTATGCAATATTGACTTTTAAACTACCACCTAATGTCCACAAAATTAATGGATGGTAAAAGTATTGAAACTTTGCTGAAACTATTGGATTAACAAAGAGTTGATGTGTCTTCACTTTACATCGTGTGTGAGTATAAGCATAAATATATATGAAAACAAGCAACAGGCTAGTTAAATGAACAATAGTAGCGCCTTACTGGCTTCATATAATATAAAATTCGCGTAATGTCATTTCCGCCCTAGCCTTCTAAACGTCGACAAATGTCACCGGACTCTCCAATACCGGATGTGGCAATATAAGTACCCCCTCGTAAGAAATAGCGAAAAGTAACAACAAAATAATGATCGTTTGTTAAACAACTTTATATTAGGGTGTCCAAAATTATGAGACAAACCATCAGAGTTGGTCTGTCGATTTTATGTGACTGTGCAAAATTTGGTTTTGTTGCAATTATTATACTTTGTGTTATAGTTTGGCATGAAATGCATGTGGACCCGGGTTTTTTAAATATCTCTTCATCCAATGATCCAATCGATCTCAAACTGTGCAAGTGGATGTTTTGTCAGACAACCTAATCACATTGTAAATCACCGATTTTATGCATTTGTATTAAAGAATCTGTCTATGTAACTGTCAACAAAATAAACAGCAGAACGCAGGCGGCTTGCAGAGGGAGGGAGCCAATGACCTGTAACAGCGGCAGTGTTGGGTCATAAAGGTCAACGTTCGTCAATGTAGGTCAGCTATGCACGTGACAGGTATGAAGAGGTGTCACAGGTCGTGAATAGGGTAAGGTGGGTGCCAACTGTTAACCATCATACGGAGTTTGTTTCTCTGAGTTGTTCAACATTAACCACAAAACCCATTAGTGAGAAATATTCTGTAGGTTAAAATCTTTAAATTTGTAATGTGAATGTCATATTTTGTTTATGCAGTACCTAAGTGGAAATGCATTGAAAGAACACAGAAAGTATATTTACACTAAATCATTAATCGGACCACCTATGGTTAGAACTCAACAACTGTTAAAGCCCCGTTCCCACGGACACAAGCACATACAATCATGCACACTCATTGAAGACAAGATAGAATGAAGACAAAAGTGTTATGTTTTGATGTCGTTCACATTCCAAATTAAGCAATGCATTTCTAATAGCTTTAAGCATATACATGTAGATAGTTAATATTTATATTTTCATGATAATGTTATGTGAAATGAGTGTTTCATGTTACACTATAAGTCGTTGGAATTAGTCAGTGCTGTCATTGTTAAAAGAAGTTATATTTCTTTGACCATATCTGGCTGGATACTATTATTATCTGTAAATAAAATAACAGAATTAAACTTCATCAAGTTCACTCCATTCTTCCACAGAGGAGTCATCAGTGTCCAGACGAATGGCAACTGGATTAACTGTTTGCTCCTTCCAGTCATCTTTGAGCCAGTACTCTTTTTCCACCTTCTTGACAATGTGTCAATGTCACATATAGCAGTGTTAACAATGTGCTTGACATCATTCAACTTGAATGATTGATTTTTCCGGGCCACTGTACTTTTAAGGTCTCCCCAGATAAGTTTGATTGGGTTGAGATCACAGTGGTACGGTGGTAATCTCAAGACGTTATGGCCGTGTTGGCGTAGGATGTTGTCAATGTTATATGTGGGTGGAGGTTTGTTAGGTTTAATCAAAGAGCACAACTGTGGTTTAGTGGCCTTAATTGAAAATTGTATATTGTTATTTGTTAGCCATTGCTGCATATCTGACTTCTTTGTATTGGAAGCTGGGCACCTATTGTTTGGATCTCGAACACTGTGATAGGGAGCATTGTCCATGACAACAAGACTTTTGTAAGGCAGAGCTGGCAACAATTGTTCCTCAACATACTGTGTGAAAACCGTTGAGTTCATTTCTGTATGACAGTCCCTACCATCTGTGCTCTTTGACCGAAATACCAGATCACACCCAGGTAGGAATCCACGGTGGGAACCAGCATGAAGAACGATTAAACGTTCACCTTTGCCTGTTGGTATTTTCCTACCATCACTGGGATCAGTGGGTAGCCACTGTCTGGCAGCAGTATGGTTTGCATTGACCCAGGTCTCATCCAGATATATGGGTTCGAACCCATCCTCCCTTGCCTGCCTAATTTCTCTCAGATAGTTACACCTTATTTTCACAATATCAGATCTCTCACACATTGCAAGTTTCTGGTTTGCTACCTTCTTGTACTTGTATCCAAATTTGAGCAGTAGTTTGCTACTGTTGTGATCCTCTGCAAGGATGTGTTTTGACTTTCTTGTGGACAGGTGTTCATTTCTAGCAAATAGCCGGCGAATGACATCTCTGATGACCCTGATGTCAAAAGAATCTGACTTTGGATGCCTACCTTTTTGTACAAGGTTTTGTTTATTGGTTGTTGGTTTATTTTTCACAATTTTTAGCAGATGTTCTTTTTCATGCCAAGAGCAAAAGTTGTACGTTTCATGCAATCCGACACCTTCTAAATCGGTTTGCTACGTTTGCTCTCTTTTTAAAAAAAATTCAACACATTTCTAATTAAACGTTTAGCATCATCTGAATAAGCTTTCGTGATGACAGCTAGAAGTAGTCAATGTGAATGATCCAAACGGTCTATCACTGTGCAGTGCACAGGTAACTATCATGAACTGCACGTGCAGTTTATACCTTTATGACCCAACACTGCCGCTGTTACAGGTCATTGGCTCCCTCCCTCTGCAAGCCGTCTGCGTTCTGCTGTTTATTTTGTTGACAGTTACATAGACAGATTCTTCAATACAAATGCATAAAATCGGTGATTTACAATGTGATTAGGTTGTCTGACAAAACATCCACTTGCACAGTTTGAGATCGATTGGGTCATTGGATGAAGAGATATTTACAAAAAGCCGGGTCCACATGCATTTCATGCCAAACTATAGTGAGCAATTCATCGGTCTCAAATGAAATCCAAAAGACTGTAACACAAAATATTTTCTTGGAGCCATGGTTTAACAATATGAAACGTCCATAAAATATACCCAGTTTTGTTTTTCCAATCATTTTTGTTTATGCAGTCGTTGTGTGAACAGTGTACATGGATGGACGATTTTTAACTATGTATTAACATCTGTATGTTGTAACGGAAAGGTATTCAAATAAACCAATATGGCTTGTGTACCAAACCGCATTCACTTCGTGAATGTACCCGTGAAAATCCGAGTTTGATTAGCTCTTCAGCTTGTAAAAGGCGACTAACGGGATTGGGTGGTCAGACTCGCTGACTTGGTTGACACATGTCATCGGTTCCCAAATGCGTAGATCTATGTCGATGTTGTTGATCACTAGATTGTCTGGTCCAGATTCGATTTTTTACAGACCGCCACCTTTTAGATGGAATATTGCTGAGTGTGGCGTTAAACAACCAACCAACTTCGTCAATAAATATACAGAACAATTATTA